GTACCATTTCACGCCTGTAAAAGTTCAATAAGTCTATTTGTCAAGCTTACCTGACATGTTTATGGTAGTCTAAAGGATGTTCTATTGCCAAAAACTCCTGCAACTGGTTCATAACATTGACAGGCTGACTAACCAACTCATTCAAATCAATRATCAACATTTGATTCGGATTGAAATACTTCATCCATCGACCTAAGTGTTCGGCGTAGTGGCCTGGGCGGAGAATCGAAGTGCGCATGCGTAATAGCTCGGGATTAGTCTGTGAYGTCACGATATCGGTGAATTTRTATTGGGACAGCTTGTGGCGAGCTAATAGRTGCTTATAGTGGGCATARGCGATCATGACGGGGTTTTCCAAGACGAAGATTATTTTGGCTGACTTTAAGAGGGCGTTGACACGCTGTGGCGCGGCTTGGCTGGTAAAGTAGCTGTGACTCGGTTCGTAGGAGATGCTATTCGGGTTAGATGGCTTAGCGAAGTGATCCATGTACCTAARAAGAAATGGWTGGTTATGAAATRGCCTGAATGAAAGGCAAGTAAAATACACACTTGTGCAATACTCCAATTTCGAATTCAAAGCGAAAACCGCTGTTATATTTGACAGCAGATTCTCTTACGCAAAGACCTTACCAAAAYACWRAAGAAAGCACGAGAAAATGTTGTAATAACAATTTGCATTTTCCCCGAGTCSAGGCTAACCCTGTATTTCCAGAARGTTCAAACCTTAGGTCTTAWGGGAATACAGGGTTATTCTCAATACGGAGAAAATGTAAATTTTCAAGGCTATTGTAATAGCGAAATTYTATYGTGCTTTCTWTTGTGTTGGGTAAGGTCTTTGCGCAAGAGAACCTGAAACAACGGTTTTTCGCTTCAAAAATGTTTGTTTTCAGGTTACGGCCATCTTGAGGAACTTTGACAAAGGATTTCTCAATAGTATCTATTTAACATTCTCCTTCCAGGCTGAGTTGCTGGAGATGGGACTGACTTGTGGCGAGGCTTTGAAAGTTGCAAAGGACCGCCAATAGTAGCCTGCTAACAGGCGTTCCTCTCTCGGCCCCCAGCAGGAACGCCTGTTAGCAGGCTACGCCAATAGTGGCGTCACCGTGTCGCGGCCCTATTTCCCACTAGGGAAGATGGGGATAAGTAAGTAACATTCYCCTAACATGGCTGCCTGCCTTTTAAATCTCATTGGAATGGTTGAAAAACAATCAATACTCACCAATCTAATCCTTTTAAATAGTTTTCACTGCTGAAGAACTGAGCTTCTTTWGACGAGATGTTGTTCATCTGAACAATGTCATGGTTAAGACGAAGMAGTGATTGAAGTAGTTCTAGGCCTCCGTGAGGCGGCCCGACCAGCAAGAACGAGGGGAGCTTGGAGCAGGTTTTGTCGCTATCCCATATGATAAGGTGTCGATGATCGTCACACGGACTCTGTASAAAGAAATTTTGCTTTGTGTTGAACATAAATAGAATTCCATTTAACAGTAAAAGGTTAAGGATTTCCATAAAATGTCATCATTATTATTATCAAAACTATCGCCACTTCAAAAATTTCTTTTTCTTACCCGCCATAATGGTGTCTTGTCTTGCGGAAAAAGGCCAAAGTAAATTTCCGCAAGTTTGGTTGGTGGAGCGTATGTGAGTCTCACGTTCGTCCACTTGCGTACGTAATCGACGAGTTTGGTGATGGTGTACTGCGCAAGACGATCGTTGGCGTAATTTGTCATGTGCGTCATGATGATCATCACCTAAAAATATACGGATCAGTTTTACGTAAGAGTATTACGCGAAACGAAATTGTTCTTTGCAAACATATATTACTTATTGTAAATTCAAAATGTTTGTTGCTTTACTTCGTTACCGAATGATCTGTACCAAAACTAGGCAATTAACGCAAATTTTACGTTAAGATTTATTTAACGTAACCGTACTCCGTCGGTTACGTCGTAATGTACTTACGGGGTTACGCAAGAGTGTTTCGAACAGTTCACCGCCGTGGATACTTCTGTCCAGTGCCTTACGTCCACCTTTGATTTGCTTGAAGAAGTTAGTCGACGTAAAAAGTCCACACGTTTGCCGCGGAAGAACCTGAAGACATAACGCAACGCGATCAGCAAAAGTAACGCAGATTTAGATAACGTAACGAAAGCAACGCTGTAGAATGCAAACACTAAAACTATGAAAAAACTTTGTGTACTGAATAATGTGAATTCCTTTGTTTTCTATAYTGTCTAATCTAAAGTTCATTGCGCTATTTTGAACTATTTGGTTGGTGCCTTTTCAGCGTTCGCACTCGAACTTGAAAKTAAGTCAATCACAGTAGTAACGCAACGAAATCAAYATYACAATTTGTAACGCAACGAAGGTCAMGCAATCCATACCCTTATTCCTCTATAAATAAATCCCCTTCGAAGCCACGCTGGTTTAAGATGCGGGTATTCTTCCGTYGATGTCACGGTAATCTTGTCGACTTTGTTCCATGCCGTGTAGAGATCTTCGTGGACTGGATACACTCCTGAATGATGAGGTGCGACTGCGTATGAAGTGTTCAGCGGTATTCCGTAATCCTAATAAGAATAAGAAAACAACTTGACATTTTGTTTGTAGAATTTTGAAGCTTTACATTACCTACAAGTTTTGCAAAAACAAAGAGTCTATTCTAGCATGTTCACTTAATCTTTGTGAATCATTTGCTCTTAAATCAATTGGCAAAATGCTTTAGGGGACTTGTTCCCAGATCCCCCGCGACATAATTGTGTCTAATTAAGTGTATATTGATAAATAAATAAAATTAATTGATTAAACAACACATAGACTCAAACTATTATGAACAGACCCCCTTGCAATTTAATGCAGCTTGGATACCAATTCCTACGAGGGCAAAAATCTTGTTTTGTCATCCAGATGATGAACATGGATGAAGCTGCTTCGACAAGCACGCAAGGGGTTTATAGTACTCATCAAATGTCCATCTTTATTTACCTCTGCAAACTTTCGATTTCTCTTCATTGATCTAATAAGGTTTTTTAGTGAGAATCGATGTGCTTGCTCGTGATCATACAGATGACCAAACCACGTAAACCTGTGCGCGTATTCCAAGATGGCCTCGTCTCCTTCGTCTTCTTGCGGGGATCCTCTCTTGTAGCCCTTACCAGAGTACCCTAAATTGAACCTAAAACCAGGGATCTTCTCGGCCAGAGATGACTGCACTGAGAGCAGGTCCTGGGGACAACAATTTGATGAGTATAAGAACTCAATTGGCGGCACGACCGAAAGGTACTGTGGGTAATATTGATTGTTGCTTGACATTTTCACCCATTAAAGACAGTTAATACTGTTATTTTAAAAAGAAAAGATCTTTGATGATGGTTTGGTCTTTAAACCAAATTTTATCAATCGAAATTGATTACCCCACAATGAGGGGCATTTGCCGTGCATTTGCCTTTCTTTCTTACAACTCTTTTTGAAATGACTGTAAATTCTCGTTACTAGGCCCTTCTCGCCCACCTCAAGGCGAAGCGGAAAAAGTGCCTGGGAACTAGTTTGGTAAATATACCCACAATAATAGACTTCTGAACCTTTTACGTCACAACTTGATTTTCAATGCATTGAGGGATCAGTTTCAAGAGAAAACAAAATAAATCCGCCATGTTCTGTCCCAAAACATATCCTACAAAGCATTGCGTGAACGATACATGACGTAAAAGATTCAAAGCTCTATTAACACAATCCTTTGCCATTTTCTTCTTTAAACTGGTATAAGTTCTTACCATCACATCTTCCCTTCGTAGTCTTAGACCAGTACTCCCAATAAACACGTCATCCATGTCAACTTGAAGGTAGCGATTCAACGAGAACGTCAAACTCTTTGTAGAAAGAAAATCCAACGAATCCAAGAACAGCATAGTATGTACAAAGAAAGGAAATCCGCCCGCGAAAAACACTCTCTTCACGCCATCTTTCCTTCCGCTATCGAGGAGAACAGTGACGCGGTCGAACTGCGGGTCCATTGGGTTTCTTCTCTTCCGACGCTTCTTCGCTAGCGGTARCCCCGGTAAGACATACGCAACGGTTTCRTACGGAACCCTTGCGGGATCGTAACTCAAATACATCCATCTAGTGCCAATTCCTTTAGGGACTCGAGGTCTCTCCGCTTGTCCACCATCTTTRGTAACTCTAAGAATAACTGACGAACTATTTATTTTCACAAATAACGGRCTTTTCTCTTTYTCCGGTTTGCGAACRTTTAATTCAAAGTCTCTTGCGTATCCTACGTAGTTTGTCGTAAAGAATAAAATCCCTGTGTTAAATTTGCGAGAGTAAGAGTTCAACGTGTTTTTCGTCTTTTCTTTTAAATCTAAATATGTTTTTATATCTACAAATATGAGAAGGGAATACTTTCCGACTGTTACATCAGGTCTCAATGCGTCTTTAATGTCCAGGAATGGTTTATCGTCGACTCTTGTAAGTTCATAGCTCAAACGATAACCATCMAGGAGCTTACACAAAACGTGCGAGACCTTAAAACGCTCGCTYGCTGGRTGACGTTGAACGATGAGGATTTTTTTCCGCACTTTGAAAGTTCTGTTGGATTGTTTGCGGGARTTGGGCAACCAGCGGATATCCCGAGTGTAGTACAAGTTTGGGTCGACGTTTTTTGTGAGGGCTGTACCAACRACATCATCTGAAAAACAAAGAAAAGTTGCGATATTAAAAGGTGCATAACTAACCAGCATGCAATGCGGCCTTGGCTTGAAATTCTGACACACGAAAAATAGACTTTTGAATTTTTTACGTCACTACTCAATTTTCAATTGTGGGACTACTTTCTTGAGAAAACAAAGGAATTCCGCCATGTTCTGTCCCAAACATATCCTACAATGCATTGCGTGTTCGGTACATGACATAAAGGCTTTAGAGGTCTATTGGTCATTTGAGGTGATTTCAGGTTTCAAGAGGGAATGGTACAATATCTCCATTCATAGAGAATTAAGCTGGGGGATTTTAGTGAGTTTTTGTTAGATTTTCATTTTGAAAGTTCAACAAAAGCTATATAGAGTCGCCTGTAAGAGATGGATTTATAAAACGGAAAAGTTCATATTTCCACTTATGTAATGGTATAAGGCTGTTTTATATTCTACTTGCATGTCATACATGATGCAGAAAGATTATTGAATGGGCTTTCAAATCATTTTTTATCTTCGTTATCAATCAGTACACATTTACAAATCAATGTGAAGGAGGAAGTCTGGGAACAAGACATGATTTGACATGATAGTATTTGCTGCAGATTGCGTGATGTTCAGATTTTCTGAGACTTACGCGTTTGTCCATCAACCTCAATTTAATTATTCTATTATTATTAAGTTACGCAATATAAACATATTTCTCTACATTTGTACAATAATCTATAATATCTGTCTCTTAGCCATGCAATAATGCACTAAGAATACACAATATAAACTACAGATTTTCAACTAAGTTGCGTGACTATATTTCAACACCAGCCAAAATACTAGTCACGAAGCGACTATCAGTGTCACGCTAGAGGAGAAGGCGTAGCGTGACAATGATGATATCTGCGAGGGGCACTTCAAAAACACATAAGCTACGCGGCTTCCTAGGTGGTCGACTGAAGGACCCTAGGGGACCGCATCAACTCATCAAATCAATGACACAAATCATTGTTGGATGCTTGACCTCAAATCAGCATCATTGAAAACAAGAGTGGCACCCAGGGAGCGCAGAACCCTGTCACCACAGGGAGTCCAGTCTACAGACTAGATCGCCTTCAGCAACGCCTAACCACGCTATTTGCGCCATTTGCGCACAGCTGGATGTCGGTTCCATCAAATTACCGCATCCATTTGATTGAACGGTTGATAACTTGGCTAAGACTCGAGAACGTTTGATCAGCGGGGGGTAAATGTGGGAGAAATATACGATCCACCATATCGATTACAATGGGATATCATAAGAATGTTTGATCRYGATCTGCATGGGGTTGATAAGAGAGAAATCAATATGGTATACACAACAACCTGTTGCAGATTGCGATCGGCTGGTGAAAATAGATTCGAGAACGTTTGATCGGCAGGGGGTAGAAATAAATCTAGCGAGAAATATATATTGTATATAAGTATTTCAATTAATGTTGATAATTAGTGACGGTTGATTTGAGAAGATATCGTTTGCGAACCGGCCATTGAATATACTATCAAGGTATTTTTAGAAACATAGGAGTACAAAGTGCATTAAGTTCCCTTTGCTCTCTGGGGTCCCCGACTATACACCATAAGAGGGCCTTGCGCAAAATGCATTCATATCAAGAACTTAGAAAGTCCATTTTCGAATTCATTGCGAAAAACCTCTGCTTTATTTGACAACAGATTCTCTTGCGCAAAGGTCTTACCAACCACAACAGAAAGCACAAGAAAATGTTGTTATTACAATAACCTTGAAAATTTGCATCTTCACCGAGTTGAGACTAACMCTGCATTCGACCCAAGTTTTAAGCTTATAGAATACAGGTTAGCCTCAACTCGGGATAAAAATGTAAATTGTTAGCGCTATTGTAATCAAAACATTTTCTCGTGCTTTCTTTTGCGATTGGTAAGGTCTTTGMGTAAGAGAATCTGCTGCCAAATAAACAGCAGTTATTCGCTTTGAATTCGACTAGATATAAGCGCTTCTTCAACAGTAAGAGGGGACTCCAACAATTCCTGGCAGTCGCAATCCTGACTATCACTAATTAAAATTGCTCCATGTAATCGCAGTTTTGCAGAATCTGCACAGACATTATTCAAATTGATTTTAAAATAGTTTGCACCTCTGCGGGGGAGCGAAGGAACATGATGAGAAAAGAATATGGGAAATATCTGCATAATTATTTTTTACAACGTAAAAATAGCAATTAGTTTTGGCTGCAACTTTCACATATTTATTTATTTATTTATTCATAGTTTTGTGAGTCGCACCATAATCACAGTTCACCAAATATTGGGCAATAAATAAAGCATTTTTGTGCAGATATATATTTTATATTTTGTGAAATGATGTTGAACTCGCCTATGAACCATTTTTCTAAAAGTGGAAATTTTCCCCGCACTTTTACAGCTGAGTTTTGCCTTACTTGTGCTGAACTTGAAGCAAACACTACGTTAATTAAGAAACTAGGTTTAGCTAGTTCAGGTAGTTTACAAAAAAATTATCGAGATTTGACGGCATAATTGTTCGAAAATTCCAGCGAATATCTTTCTTTCTTTCTTTGCAGTTTCAAAAAATATCTAGGTATTAAGGTGGCTTGTTAGCAGGTTATTGTCCATGGTTTACACTATGGGAGGAAAATGTATATATTTTTTATTTGGATAACACTGCTAATTTATCTGGTTCTTCTCTACGAGGGTCTTGAAGAAGGGGCGCTGGGGGTATGACTTCCATTTTCCCAGTTAATATTTGGATCATATTCCCTCTCAAAAATCACATAATCYCATCGRTTTTGTTCAAGTTTTCAATCCCAYTCCCWGTTTCCWTTWTTCTTGTATTTTTAACTCCCASTTRAGTGGATACCATCTCAGTTCCAGYGCGTTCAATCCTATTTTCCCATTTTCCCAGTCCAAAATAGAGCTAATTTCAGCCTAATGATATAACTTGACGATCTTCCTCAACACGTGGAATACAAATACAAATGGCTAAAGAGCTTATATCAACATTCTAATCTCATTTGCTGCTACGAATAAAATCCTAACGAGGTGAACAAATGTCGGTGTTTCTTATTAAAAACAAAAACAGAAAATCAAACTGGCCGCCATATGCTCGATTGAAAGGTGCAGTCAATTCAACTATCAGCACAAAGTAAAAACAATTTGATGAGTAATTACAACTGTCATTACAGTCAATCGACATAGTCAAACTTGGAATCTAAGAAATGACGAAATAGTAACAGTACTCGCTGCACTTCATTTCGTGGTCCGTTAGCGCCCTTAGACACATGTCATGTAGTGTTCAGTAATGAGTTTCAACTGGTTTTAACATGTCTCTTAACAAAGCTTAAACCGACTGCGCTCTTGAGTGTAAAGTACAGCAACATTTACCAGAAGTAGAAACGGAAGTAACTACAACCGAATTTTAGCCATGTGTGGTTCTTGAGCTACTCCAGAGCTCTTTGGTTTTGATTGTTTCGTCTGAGACACACTCTTGCAAATATTCGCCTCACGACAAGTCTTGGGTTTGACGAACACTTATCGAAGCTKTRAGTTGATGGAACTCKCTTTAGTGAAGGGGAGGAATGAAGTGGCAGTTCTGAGTGGTTGGGTTTTTCAGACCAACGGTGGTTGAAACTGTGTGTTGGGTAACTTGTAACGAAAAACTTACAAATTATATCGGTGCCTTTATATAAAGTAGATTTTATTGTGATACGAGTTTGGCTTTATGAGAGAGAACACAAATTAAATGAAGGACAAAAGGAACAAGATCGAGAATTGTGACYGGGAAGCATTCCGCAAAATCGGGTCTTCACAGTTCTCTCGTAGTCTGCCCATCCCCMAAAAAGTGTTCCTTACTCGATAAAACTCGCACACGCACCATCTGCGTAATATAATTAAAGACTTCAACTCTCTATAAATGGCAGATTGTTTGCGAGAGAATATTTTCAGCATCTATGATTCGAGAAAAAAGGTAGCTATACAAGACAAAACCACCACAGATTCTCCACAAAGGTAGCCAATACAGACCAAAACCGTACCTATTCAAGATAAAATTGTAACCCATAAAGGTACCTATATCAGACAATGCGGTGCCCCATATYAAACAAAAGGTACACCCATTCCAGAGGAAATAGTACCTACACGAGACAAAACGATACCCTCATTCCATACAAAAGGTACCTCATTCAAGACAAAAAAAAGTACCTTTCCAAACCAAACTGTAACATGTTCCATAGAAAAGAATGTACCAATTTCAGAACCTAAGGTACAAAGATCCCTGGTTAAAAAGGTGCCTTTTAAAAATAGGCAAAACTTGTACTTGTTTTCAGTCCCAGTGGACTCCAGACCATTTCTTTCGGTTATAAAAATAAAATTTCTATTGCTAAAATTCAGCGTCTTGCACGCATATAGGAAATCAACTCGCGAAACTTCGTGCAAATAATTCAGAATTAAAACTATTTCTTTCTTTTTTGTTTGTTTGGGTTCAATAAGACTCAAAAGCAAAGCCAAACTTTAACAGGCCTTCTTTATTTACAATATCGCGGCCAAGATAAGTCCAAGACAGCTCGGGGAGCATTTTTTCGAGATAAGAGATAACTTTCAGTCCATGTTATCTGCTAGGAACATCGATTTGACTTCATTACCGAGATCTCTAATTTGAACTATGGCACGTTAATCTAGAAAGAGTTGATAACGCGGGACAAGCTACACACTGCACGCAAAAGCGTGGATGTGTTGTGGGYTGGTAAAATGGCGACAAATATTTCGTTGAAGAAATCCTTCCTTCCTTCTTTGTCAATGTTTTTTCTATGCCATYCCTTATAGACATACAAAGGAAATTATAGGAATGGACACCGCATTTTTCGCGGCTAACGTCAAACATAAACAGAAGATCTACAAGTTTATTGCTTTGGCAAGGAAATAACATACATTTTTGGCGGCTTTTTCTGAAGTGATTTTTTACTACGAAAACAACCAATTTAATCAATAAATTTTACATTGGAAAAAAGCGGCTCTGGTCGTTATTGGATTGCAGTGGATTAGAGGGCCACGACTTTGAAAAATTAAAAGGATTAGCGAAGTTTCGATTTACCCTTTTGTATTAGTATTTAGTGTGGCTTATTAGGTCTTCACGAACAGAGACGTAAAAAAACAATAAAAAATGAGAAAGAGTTTCAGAAGTTCAAATTCACGCCGCATTTTATTAAAAAGGACATGCCAGTTCCGGAAAACATTACAAATTAACTAGAAACGTATTACGAACTTCCAAAAAAGATTGGCCGACATATGCCCACATATTGCCGCTTTTCACTAAACATTTTGAAAACCTGAACTTTTGTCTCTTAGCTTTCAAGTCAAATGCTCAGATTGTCTGTCACTTAAATTAGAAATCATTTTACCGTCTTCAAAACACGCCGCCCTGTTTGATGAATTGTGTCTTTCGATACCAGAACGAAGCCAGCCTTCGGGCAGTAATGGCTGCTTTGTGCTTATTAATTGCTAGTTTCCAAAATTGAAGCAACAATTTTGGTTTTGCGGTAATGTTATCGGATTTGGGGCATTCTAAGATATCAGACAGTGTGTCGCCAGCGCACCATGAAGCCTGTACGAAATCTAAACATCGAGAATTAGGACGAAAAAACAACTTTAGTKCAMTGTTTTGAACGAATACCTCACTTCATTGCAGAAATATAACTCTATAAGACGCTACTGACTTTTATTCTTGCTAATTTTASAGTGAAAAGCATAAAAGTGTTCTTTAATTTGACCGAAAATGGCTTCATTCGGTGATGTTTAGAATACTACAAAGAGCAAAGCTAGTTTTAACACCTTAAACAAAAAGATATCGTGAACGGTAGTGTACAATTTATGAATTCATCCGAGCAAAGCGAAATTCAATTACRCTTGTCACTTGCATGTCATGCAATGGTTTTCAAAAATAAATAGTGACGAAAGTGTTGAAAATGATTTTTATACAGGAAAGCCTGYTCGAACTTGTGGTGTTTAACACATGAGGCCGTTCTCCAAACAATCCACTTGAGCAGGGAATAGAGATTTTATTAAGTTGAGAAAGTTAATTTAAGGAAATTAGGTATATTCTGTGCAAACATCCACTACAAAAGTACGAAGCCATGATAATGTACGAAAACTTTTATATTGACACACTTGTGTGCTAGTCTGTAATGTATAAGCCATTTGCTCATTAAAAATCTCAGTCGATCAAAGCTTTATAGAATACAGAGTTTACAGCGTAAGACCACCAAATCTTGTTAATTCGAGACGATAAAAGTGTCTTTATAAATGGTCATCAATCATAAGGCCATTTTAGAAAAGTAACCGATGKAAATACAACGGGTATTGTTAATAARAGAAGCATCGTCAATATCAATACGGTCGTTCCACGATTTGACCACTAAATCTGACCTAACCAGCTCACAGCAACGTTCTAAGAGATTACGAGGCATTACAAAGCRAAGATTTTACTCCGAACAAAAGAACCAAGCTAAAAAACACTATCACCCGCGGACTTATTATACATTTAGAAACGCGCGACTACAACGAATAGATTGACACACGTTCAGTGGGTTTTTATCTCGAAGCCACAAGAAAAATACAACACATGTTTACATCACTAGAGCTTTCCTCTGAAAGATTATTACTTAGTCGACCATCTCTTGACTCCGGTTGAGTTTATGTTCACATTGGGAAGTTTATTCAAGCCTTTTAGAGGCGCTTCATGTGATATTTTTTCAACTGAAGYATCGCGACACAGTTGGAATGAGCTGCCGGGTACAAGAGATTACTGACAACATACCTACAACTGTACTGCTCTGCGAGTAGTAGTTGAACAGCAGAAAGACTCCAATCCATGAGACCAACATCAGCGAGAACACTACRCGGAACGGGAGCTTTGTATATCTACGAATCCTGGTCCAAATCCTCATCTCTGTGGAGCTTTCGACGCAGTAGGACTCAAACAGCGAGGGTCAGTGAGGCTCCTCTAAATCTCTTGCTATGATTCTAGTCCCCTCTCAACGTGCAAAACATGGACCCTGCTATGTAAACGGTGTAATCTCTAGAGCCGACGGAACGCACGTCAGTTCTGCAAATTCTCCTTCTACATCTGTGTAAATGTACTCGAGTGGTCGCGAGTTTTGTGGCGTGTGAAATTCTATATCCTGGGCGGTCCGTGTGTACCTGCGTTACCAACGAAATATGAGTATTAGAGTACATTGTCACTGGCCTTCAAACGCGTGAAAAACTAATAACCATTCGGCGCAATTAATTAAGTTAACAGGTTCATTATTTATTCATTTATGGACAACTTATCAGACAAAAAACAATTCTTATTACAAAGCTTATTTGGTAGAGTGTGATTTTTTTTGGTCAGATTATATAGTAAGTGATGAGCAGTTGATTTGGATGGTTGCTTGYGATGATAAGAAATCCCTCGAGCGAGAAGCGCGCTAATTATCAAAATATAAGACTATGTTCGTGGTTTTAAAGAACAAAAACAAGACAACAAAAACAAGAACAAGAGGTATTAGGGTTTCATTAATGCTAGAAAATTGATAGCTCTTTTGTTGCGGGTTTTGTTCAACTATAATAGAGATTAGTTTGCCGTTATTTTTTTCGGTATGAATTTCATTTTCAACTGAATTTTTCGTTCCATTTGAAGCTCATACAGCACTGGACTGTTTTTGCGCTCTTTCGCTTTTCGACTGTTTGTTTACAAAGTATTCTACATTTACGTCCTTTTCTTTACCACTCATCCTATATTTCTTTCGCAGTTTTTCATCGCTGTCCTGATCTTTATAATTTTCTATCTGTCTATTTATAGTTGTTTWTCTTTTCTTGTTCCCTCCACATTCACATTTTATTTCTTTTTACTTCATTATGTCGTCTTCCAGACTTTTTGTTCAGCCAGTAAGCTTAATTATTCCCATGTGTCTCCCTGTATACAATTCGCCATTCAATCATAACATCTTACTCATTCTTTCTTAGACATATATGTCCAAAACCCATTTCATCTATTTCTTTCAGCCCAAAACGACAGMTGAACATCAGTAATATTCGATAGTGCCTCAATTTGCGTCAATGATATTCGCGTTTGGCCCGCGGCGAAGGAAATGGCTATACCTTACATTCCAAAGAATAAAAGCAATATAAACTCTCTTCGAATTCTTCAAGAATGGACTTGTCAATTTGTCTTCGGCAGTTACTGAAAGGAACATATCTTGCTATAGYGGGAAACCTTTGGGGGGAGGGCGAGGCTTGAGAGATCGCGCGCTGCTGTTTCGCTGAATCTACTGAATAAAATATCACCAGTCCAATCAGTGGATGTTGATATTTATAATATAACTTTGAATTTTAATTCGAATTCAGTAGTTATACGTGGTATRTTTATTCATCTTATTATACAAACTTCGATGAAACACAAGTAAAGACAATCTCTCGCATGAAGACTTGATACTCAGCATGTGAAAATAAATACGTTATATTACAGATTCTCCGTACAAATTGTCTTCTTCATTTCCAAAAGGGACTGATTATATGAATTGGGCTGAACCTATCAGGACCGGACTGATGTCTTTGTTTTGTGTCGGCACCTAAGAAAACGAGAAAAATAAAAACAAAACAAAACTGAACCAACGTGTTGAATCGGGAAAGTCCGCTTTATATAATCAGACTGCAAATGATATAAATTGGAGTTTTTTAAAAGTACTCGTGTGCGTCGAATTCTCCCGAGAGTGCAATGGACTTCAAATTCGATGGTTATTGACATGTCGGCTAGAGACTCCCCGACTGACCCCTCCCCCCTCTCAAAACAGCTCTCCATTCTATTTTGGCCTTTATTAATAGTTTCCAGATTTCCATTCTTGTTAGTTTGAGATATGAGTATAWAGTGAATAGAGCACGTTTTTAGCAGGTCATCTTTGATAAACAGTGGGTTTTAGAGGTCTTGGAAGTTGAAGGGCGTGACCATTATTTAATTAATAGAGCGACAAAGTTTTGGTCTGTTTTACATTTCTTTTTCTTTTTATCAGATGTTGTGTCTTGTAGTAAACTTGAGATGTTTTCTATCGTGTTGGCCTGTTTGCGCTTGGAAATTCATTCATCTAAAAATTCACAATGAATTTAGTTGTTGATATGCTTATTGACAAATCTGTCCGTAAWATTCATCGCTCGATTCCATAAACCACTCATTCACTCGYTGAATCCATCAATCGATTCATTTGTTAACTGATTCTGAATCACATTATTTTTTGATATTATTAATTTAATCAAAAACTTAAACTATTTCGCGGGTTAAGTGCAAAGACCCTATTGATAGCTTGGCCGAACAGGTTCTTTCTGGCTGCTTGTTACCATCCTATCTCTTCTCATCAAAATATCTCGCTTATTGATATGTACTCTCCAAAATCAACTGAAATTTCGTCAGGGGATCTTTTAGTACATCTGCAAAACAAGAGTTGTGAGTTACACTTGATTCCATCACAGTCCAAGCGAGATGCAATGACCATTAAAAAAAACACGGGAAGGGATGGAAGGTCACAAGGAAAGTCAGAAAGATCCAGAAAGAGTCTGTGCTTCCTGTTTTCGGGGGAATCGACTAACGAGGTCGAAAAAGTCGTCYGCTGAATTATTAAAACCAAGAAATTAGTTCAGACTTGTATAAAGTTTTGAGACATTGTTATACTGGATTTTGGGCTACCGCGCATTCTGGAGAAAATGAAATGAAATCCATTCGTACAATACTTGGCGCTGAAAGAATCGATATCCTACAAGATGGAAATACGCAACGAGCCTCCCCGTTTGAGATGGAGGCAACGGGCCTGGGCATGTACCCTATAACCTTGAATGATATCTCTCTCCGCCCCTTCACATGCAAACCTCTTTACAAACCTTGGTTTTTACTCGGGTCGTTCCATCCTCGACTCATGGTCAGCTCGATAAACATGATCAATAACTTTAAGATAAATCAAACAATACTTTAATTACTTTAATCACAGTAATATGACCGTTTATTGACCTATCGTAATTTGATAATAGCCATTTGGTATATAGCTCAGTAATTGCAATTTCCTATTATTAGTGTACAGTAAATTACAAGTATTGTGGATGTTATGAATTAAAGGAWAGTCGCCTGCTGAAGCAGATGTGCTTAGGCCTCATTTACTGGGAGACATTCCCCTTTTTGAGATATTCACTTTTGAGGTCAGTTAAGGCGCGCGTGTACACGAGACCTGTGTAAAGGCCCGTTTACATTTGCGATTTTTGTAGAGCGATTCTTGCGGCGATTGTTGCGCGACAATCGCCTGAGTTTCGAACATGCTTGAAAACTGATTGCAGCTTCGGGGCGATTTCCATCGCAGGGTTGTTTACACGTACGATTTGAATTGTGCGATAGCAAAGTGGCGATTTATCGCGCTGCAAAAATCGCAAGTGTAAACGGGCCTTAAGTGTTCCCACTTCTGGTCACTAAAGTGTTAACTTTTGGGGACCTCAAAAWACAGATCTAATTCTGGATCTTGTTAAGTTAGAGCGAGCAGACCAGTCAACACCAGTGCAATATGTTCCGAAAAGTAAAAGGTGCACTAAAAACGACACTGGCACAGTTCTCAGGTGAASCCCGACTTTGTGTATAAAAATGCGGTCTTGGGACTTATCTCCCTCCTCCCTCCAACCCCTCTTCCTCCCCCCTGAAACATACGCCTTCTTTATAGGGCCGGTACTATGCGTGAGGTAATGCCATTCAAGTTTATTTAGAAAATGTATCCATGTTTTGACTAGTCAAAACCTATCAAAATAGCCGCCGGTGCGGATAGCATACATGAGGATATATCTCCAGGCGACCGTGTAATATTCTATTTATCATATAATTGTATAAAGCAAATTCTGTCGTACACAATAGCATATGGAACTTATTGCCATACATCGGGTGACATTTGCTTGGATTATTGTCCAGGCTMACTCATGCATCCATGCATGCATGTATATATGCATGTAATTTATTTATTTACTTCATGAAATATAATACAATGGAGTTAATTAATATTTTGTCGTCGATCGACCTCATTAACATCATCATCTGCCATAAAATACTATTAATAGCAAAGTCACCTCTAGAAAGGAAAGTAAATGTACATATAATATCACAGTACGTTCATTGACTGATATAAATTTTTCAAATATTGAATTAACACAAAACTGCATAGTTTTGAGTACATTTTCAACATATAATAAGAAAAACAAAACTGCATAGTTTTGAGTACATTTTCAACATATAATAAGAAAGCAATAATTTGAAAATTCAAGTTTGATTTTTGTTGCTTATGCCTACAGAAGTAGTCTCCTTTGCATCCGTTCATCGTCGGGACAGGAATCCCGAAACGCAAACGGRTGCRAAKYARCGCCAACTCTTCAAAGGCGAAAATACGTAATTTGATTTTTAAATTTTCTCACGAAAAATACACAGCAATGTCACACATACATTTTATTTCTTAAATCCGGTGCTAGGTTTTTTATTAACAAAATAAGTTATGCGCGAGGCCCAGTTTTTTGGAGCGAACTGTGGTGAAAACATGGATCGCCATACTATTTTAATGCTCAACTTCAACTCTTCAAGGGCAAAAATACGTGATTGGATTTTCGAATTTTCTCATGAAAAATACCCAGAAAGGTCGCATATAGATTTTATTTCTTAAATCCGGTGCTAGGTTTTTAGGATTGTTTTTAATGTCGCCGCATTTCTTCAAAAAGCCTTGAAATCTGGCCTTTTTTCGTCAAATTTGGCACTTCATACGGACTGKCARGYYAAGCTTGAGTGATCACGGACTATTTGTCCCCCATAAGTTCCATATGTTTTTTCTTATACTTTTACTATATAGAGAAACCTCGAATGTTTTATTTTCACTAGTGGAAGATATCAAGTTTACGTAATGGAGAAATATAGGTATTTCATAGATAATTATATGATAAATATTATTCTTTATACCCAGTTCCTTCCAGTTTCCCAACGGAAAATCGAAGTCTCTGATATGATATGATGCATCGGAATTTTTGAACCAATCAAATCAAAGAATCATTCGTTTCCGACGAGAGTYCGATCGATTTTCCGTTGGGAAACTGAGAAGGATCTGGGTACGAGAATGCATACACATATTGAACAGAATAGTTTTACATTTATAAAGCACACTGGGGGGTGCCTTGCTGTCTTAAACAGGGTATACATTTCACCTGAAATTGTCTTAAACAGGCTCTGCAATTTAGATAAAAGACCGATATAATTTTTTTGTGTGTCTTGAACAGGGTAATATTTTAAAAGAAATACCGTAGAAATACCGTTTCACTGTACCAGGATTAACGTGTTATCAAAAACTTCTTATTTTCTTTAATGGGTGTCAATATAATTGATATCCAATTGAAGTTTTGATGGTTGCGGCGTGGATAGCGATTCCTTATTTTTCCGATTTGTCTTGA